GATAATTATTTTAATTTATATATTTATACCATGACGTCCAACGGCATCAAACAGTGTCTGGTTAAAGAATTATTCAGTAACGCTAATGACACCCATAGGCTCACACAAAAAAAACCACGAACATTTGACCAGCACCGGGGAATGGGTATACAAAAATCAAGCTGCAGCAAACGTTGTTAAAATTATTTAATAAGTAATATTGTCTAACTTAACCATTAACGGGAATAGGAGACACCCCCTTTTTGCCAAGTCTCCTAATTCAAAATGTAGTAATTTGTATTAAGCTTGAACATATATTTAGAAAATATTATTTATTGTCATTAAAAATGTGTCTTTGATTTATGTTTTATGTAAGTAATTATAATTAAACTAGTAAACAAAACAATTAATATATTTTATAATTAAATATCAATATTTTATAATTTTTAACCTTATACAAAAATGTATTATTGTAGGCTATTCACGAAGATGCCATGCAGACATTTGCAACTCGTTTAAAAATGCATTTGGAATCAATGGTTGAAGAAGAATCTATTGAAGAAGAAGGTTGTAATAGACATATATTTTATAATAATTAAAAATATAACATTTTATTAATACAATATTTTCCATTCATTTCAGATGGAGATGCAAATATTGTACATGAAACTCCACGTCGAATATTAATTATAAAGACTGAAGGYTCTAGATTTGCATTCAGTGATTATGTATTTCCTGGTGAAACTTCGCAAGAAGCATTATATGTGGCTGGAGAAATATTGAATCTTCCTGAAGACAAAATAGAATTATATGATGTGTTGGAAAAAGGTTAGTGTTTCTTGAAATAATGTAATTTGTATTCAAAACAAGATTTTTTTGATMCTTTGATTAAAGAAAAGTAATTGTTTTGCTTTTCTCAGAAAATTGATATCTATATTTGTTRAATTATAATATTTACTTTTTACAATTKGAAACAATCATTCTTAACATGATATTAATGTGTTTAAAGGACGACATTCATATTATGAGACACTGCCAGACATTGATAATAGTCCACCACAAGATGCAAATACTTCAACGTCAAACAATGGGCTTATTTATTTCTCCTATGCTGCTTTGATATTRGCTATCTTAGCATACTTCATTAAACAGATTTTTGTGTGAATTATATTAACGGGAAGCTTATGCAACTGTAAAAAATAACATTCCTTAATTTTTTATTATATTTTTTTGATTTTGATTTTAAGTTTATTTTAAATTAAAATGATTTTTTGAACAAATGTATATTTAAAATGTTAAGTTTGACCAATTAAAGAATTAATATGAGATGTTACATGTGTTTYGTAAATCATTCGCACAAATTATAATAGTAAAAACCAGTGGCGGCTTGAACTCTTTTCCCCTCAAATCACGTTTAATATTTTTACACCACAAACCCTAAAATTATTTATTTCTGTGCACTATCTGTTGAATACTCATATACGACTATATATTATATTTATTATTTAAATTACCAGCCTGTAAAAATAGTGCAGTCTACCTTTTCCAACCATGAGACCCATGCACCCATTAATATTTTTGTGAATCACATGATTTAAATATACCCTCTTCGAGCTGCCATTGGTGAATACTATACACTTTCTAATAGATATTTCTATTTTTAAGGGATAACAATTTATTTATTTTCTTTATACGACAAATATTAGTGCAGTAAAATTATTAAAACAAATCTTCTGAGGSAGTCACTTATTTATAAATCTGAAGTGGGTAGGAGAAGAAAATTTTTCTTAGAGTAAATATAATTCAAATTTTAGTTCATAATATATTATAAATAAGATTTGATAAMAATAGTTACAAATTAATTTATATTTTTATTTTATGAAGTATAAGACTAATATAAATTTTAATTTAATATATGTTTATATTTAATATTTTCTACTAATTTACAATAGTAATATACTTTGTAATTATTAGCAACCCTATAAATAAACAAAWAATCATATTTTARATTTAAAAAAATTTATTTATTACCTTATWTAGTTATAGGCCATATAGAGCCATAAAGGCTTAAAAAATAATCTATAAACACTCGATATAGGTCTCAAGGAATAACTTTTACTGAAAACAGTTCAGTAGGTTTTGAGTCTATTTACTTTAGATAAACCAATTTGGGTAAAATATATAAAACAGAGAAGAAGATATTTGACCCGTGAACTTCATCACCCAAAATTAAATTAAATCTTTGATATATTTAGCTGTCCCCCATGCACATCATAGCAAAAATAAATCTGATGTCATAATTGTCCTTAATATTGTTAGACGCACTCTTAATTAAATGCAACGCAATTTATTGGTATACTAATGATTTATTGGACTCGGAAAAAAAAACAATCTAATAACACTATGGAATGGTACATATTGCACAGGAATAAACGTAAAACTCAAAACGCTTCGACGCTCGCTAGACAACTATTGTTTTTTTTTAAATCAGTTCCCACTGCTCATCATCTCTCATCCACACTCACTGTGTAAATATATTTAATTAATGTTGCCAACAATATGATTTGTATTTAAATATTAATTTTAAAGAACTTCAGAGTAAATACAATTTTTTGTTTTCTAACCATCTAGTAATAAACTGATATTACGGTTTACCTATCTTGATAATCCCGTATTTAGCTATGCACGTGAGAAACAGTCAACTTGTAAATCGATACATACATATAATTGAAAATGTTTGGCCTTAAGCGGCTTAAGCCTTATTAWTTGTAATAGAAATTGAAACTAATAGGGAATTCAAGTCTCCTAAACAAGAAAGGTAAATCAGTAGGAATCATACGCATATAGAGTATTAATGCAATTTATCCTGCTGTTCAGGTTGCTGATGACCCAGTAAGTATAGTAGCTTCAATATTATCATCACGAATAATTTTAATTTGTAGTTTCACATCATGGCATAATTTTGGAGGGTTTAAATGACATTATATTATAGGCATTCCAATTTTAAGTTGTAGGTTATGTGGGGAAACCCAGCAGCCAGCAGGATTAAGTGAATTCAAAAATTCTTGTGAGTAGTGAACAGTGTCTTCTGTACTTATATCATCATCAGTTGATCGATACTCTTTAGTTTTTCTTCTTATGTGATCTACAATAATATTGTTAATTCCAGTTGCAGGTATGTTTCGAGGTGTTATAATTGCTTTTTCACTAAGCCAGAAGAATGGTTTCTGTAAAAGATCATCAATATTGGAATTGATCTTCGAAATAAAATCAGTTATAGTTTTTGGAATCTTGCCTAATTTTGAATCGACAGTTATACATCCATTGGCGCAAATACGGGGGTGCCAGGGGTGCTTAGCATCCTCAAGTCTTAAATTAGCACCCCCAAATTATTTTGAATTAAAAATTTTGTTTTAAGTGTAATTTTGCATTTAGAATGAATTATTTCCCGTTTATATCGGTAATGCAATAATTTTTACTAAAAATGTCGTTTTCGTATACTGCATGCAATGTCTATCGGAATGATGATTTATTGATATGAGAATAATGATATAATCTAAAATTATTTAGTTTGATAGTATAGAAATGTTCAGCCATCTATTCTTAGTAGTTTTTTAATATGATGTTTTTGATTCAGTGACAACTTCACTGATATTAAATTATTTTATTTTATTATTATTTCCATTTTTCTGCACAAATACCAACAATTAATTAATTCAATGTCAAGTAATAAATGTAATATTTTATATTATTCACATTATATTACTTGTTTCAATATTTCCAGTACATTTAAATTGGGTAAAATAAAAAAAAAAAGCAGGTAAGTGGGTATCGCTCTGCTGTACATTAGGGGGTGGGGTGGACGTCTGACTAGGGTAGGTTA